CCCACAATGACACTTAGAAATAGGTTCTCTCGATATCCTGTCTTGTACAGAGGAAGGAACTAAGGCACCAGGAGCTGGTTCGACCAAGGGCACACAGCCAGTGGATGACAAAGCCACGCCTTGAACCCAGGGAGTCTGGTTTCAGAGTCTAATTTTTTTTTTTTTTAAACAGCCAGGCTCTACTGCGTTTTCTCCTAGTTAGCGTTCAATGCATGGGTCATATACCCAATGCATGGGTTTTCCTTGCACCTTTGATTTCAAGATCTGATCTTTTCAGTCTGAGAATTGAGTCAGGCAAAGGCCCAGACTTCTCCATTCATTCATTCATTTGGCACCTACTGCATGCTAAACTTGCCATATGTACACGAATGATACAATTTCTAGTCATTAGGAGTACATGTTACAGGAGAGAAAGCAAAAAGTAACCAGGAAAATTGAAGTAGGATATGAAAAGTGTTGTAGTGGACATCAGTACCAGATCCTGTGGTCTGACCATAGAAGACTGATCCCCATGGGCAGGGGATATGGGAAGGTCACTAGAAAAGCCCTCCCATAGTCCTATACTTCATAGTCACTTGAACTGGCCAGTGACAGGCTTTGTCATGTGCACACAGCCATGTCTCACTAGCCTTTAAGTTTTTGGACAGGCTTTCTGGGGGTAGGGCGGCTATGCACATCTGTGCAGGCTGCGTACTGCACAAGGAGACCACATCAAAGGCATACTATTCATATAGGACACATGCAATTTTCAGCATGTAGCAATAAAAGTGCTCCGTTGCTTTATTCTAACAAAAATCAGTATGTGATAAGAATTTTCCAACAGGTGGAAGAAAAGTATCTTGAAGAAGGGACACATTTTCTAATATGCTCAAAGGCATATTGGCATGGACTAGAGACAGCCCTGCCTGCCGTCCTGCCACAGGCCCTGAGGGCTGAGGGCTGAAGCCAGCTCTGGTAGAGCCCTCCGGCTCAGATACTCACAGATGACAGACGAACCACTTTGGCATTATCACATGACATTCACCCTCATGCACACAGAAGAAATGGTGTTCGTCCCGTTCCTGAGATGATTACACAGGATTGCTAGGCACATCTCTCTCCGTTTTGAATCCTCTGGAACTTCTAAGAAGAGTCAGGAATCTGGAAGCAGGGTTTTGGGGAAAACTCGGGGCTTATATTTCTTTTTTTTTTTTTTTTATGCTTATTTTTTAGAGAGAAAGAGAGAGAACAAGGGGTAGGGGGCAGAGGGAGGGAGGGACAGAGGATCTGAAGCGGGCTCTGTGCTGACCACAGAGAGCCCATGTGGGCTCAAACTCACAAACTGTGAGATCATGTGACCTGAGCTGAAGTCAGGTGCTCAGCTGACTGAGCCACCCAGGAGCCCCGGGGCTTCTCTTTCTGATTGTGTTTCTTGGCACCTGAAGTTCCAGATTCAATTGTTGCTTTCCCTGCAGCTCCTCTTCCCCTCCAGAGGTTGCCGTGGGGACCTGGTCTCTGTCCTGCTTCAGGACTTAGATCAGAATGCGATTAGCACTGTACTTAGGGGTTTAACAAATCTTTGTGGGAGCCCAGAATAAGGCGATTTATGCTTTCTACAAGAGGTAGTAAAGGAGTGGGGGGAAAGGGTGAAGATTTGCCAAAAAGTCATTTTGTATTCTATTAACCTGATCCTGTAACCCTGCAAGCTGCTCGCGGGGTGGCCAGCAGACTGGGGCCAGTCGGAGAGCTAAGTGTTATTGGTCTGTGACCAGATAATTTCAGAAATTGAGTGTAAACCTTGAAAAATTTGTGTATCAGTTCTAGCAATTGTATGATAACTGATCAATCTGATGATTTAAAAATGGGCTTGTAATTTGTATGCCTAAGTATGTACTTTTTCTAGAAATTTCTTTTTACTTTTTTCTGTATTTTTATTTTATTTTATTTATTTATTTTAAAATATAATTTGTTGTCAAGTTAGCTATCATACAGTGTATACAGTGTGCTCTTGGTTTTGCGGATAGATTCCCGTGATTCATCGCTTACATACAACACCCGTTGCTTATCCAACAAGTGCCCTCCTCAATGCCCATCACCCATTTTTCCCTCTCCCCCCGCTCCCCCTCCATCAACCCTCAGTTTGTTCTCTGTATTTAAGAGTCTCTTATGGGTTTTCCTCCCTCTCTGAAACCACTTTTTCCCCTTCCCTTCCCCCATGGTCTTCTGTTAAGTTTCTCAAGTTCCACATATGAGTGAAAACATAATATCTGTCTTTCTCTCACTGACTTATTTCACTTAACATAATATCCTCCAGTTCCATCCACATTGCTGCAAATGGCAGGCTTTCATTCTTTCTCGTTGCCAAGTAGTGTTCCATTGTATATATAAACCACATCTTCTTTATCCATTCGTCAGTTGATGGGCATTTGGGCTCTTTCCATAGTTTGGCTATTGTTGAAAGCGCTGCTGTAAACATTGGGGGTACCAGTGCCCTATGCATCAGCACTCCTGTATCCCTTGGGTAATTTCCTAGCAGTGCTATTTCTGGGTCACAGGGTAGCTCTATTTTTAATTTTTCAAGGAACCTCCATGCTGTTTTTCAGAGTGGCTGCACCAGTTTGCATTCCCACCAACAATGCAAGAGGGTTCCCCTTTCTCCACATCCTCGCCAACATCTGTTGTTTCCTGAATTGTGAATGTTAGCCATTCTGACAGGTGTGAGGTGGTATCTCAGTGTGGCTTTGATTTGTCTTTCCCTGATGATGAGTGACGCTGAGAATCTTTTCATGTGTCAGTGTGGCCAGTAGGCCATCTGGATGTCTTCTTTGTAAAAGTGTCAGTTCATGTCTTCTGCCCATTTCTTCATTGGATTATTTTTTTTTTTTCAGGTGTTGAGTTTGGTAAGTTCTGTATATCATTTGGATATTAACCCTTTATCCGATATGTCATTTGCAAATATCTTCTCCCATTCTGTCAGTCGCCTTTTAGTTTTGTTGATTGTTTCCTTTGCCGTGCAGAAGCTTTTTATCTTGATGAGGTCCTAGTAGTTCATTTTGGCTTTTATCTCCTTCGCCTTCGGAGACATGTCGAATAAGAAGTTGTTGCAGCCAAGGTCAAAGAGGTTGTTGCCTGTTTACTCCTCTAGGGTTTTGATGGTTTCCTGTCTCACATTTAGGTCTTATATCCATTTTGATTTTATTTTTGTGTATGGTGTAAGAAAGTGGTCCAGTTTAATTTTTCTGCATGTTACTGTCCAGTTAGAAATTTCTTTTTAACTGTATTTTACCAAAATATTGGTCAGTGACAGATGAAAATAACAGTGAAAATAACATGAAACTGGTCCTTCACCACAGGTAGTTTTTTTTTTTAATGTTTATTTATTTATTTTGAAAGAGAGAGAGAGCAAGTGTGAGCAGGGGAAAGGCAGAGAGAGACAGGGAGAGAGAGAGAATCACAAGCAGGCTCCAATGCTTAGCACAGAGCCTGATGCGGGGCTCAATCTCACAAACTGAGATGCTGACATGAGCTGAAATCAGGAGTTGTATGCTTAACCAATTGAGCTACCCACACACCTGTCACAACAGGTAGTTTAAAAAAAAAATTTTTTTTAATGTTTATTTATTTTTGAGAGAGAGACAGTGAGAGCCAGGGAGGGGCAGAGAGAGAGGCGGTGGGGGAGACAAAGAATCTGAAGCAGGCTCCAGGCTCTGCGCTGTCAGCACACAGCCCGACATGGGGCTCGAACCCATAAACCATGAGATCATGACCTGAGCTGAAGTCGGACTCTTAACTGACTGAGCCCCCCAGGCGCCCCCAGGTAGTTTTGAGAAGCACTATCTGAGAAGACAGAGACATGGTCTTTGGTTTTTATCCTTTAATCTTTGGAGAGGAGGGTCACTGATGGGTGCTGTGACCTTTGGTCAAGGGGTATGAAACAGCCGGTCCAAAGCAACTCCAGGAAAGAGCTGGGGAAATACTCTGACTTCACTTATGTCCCTTCCCTGGATCTCCTGCTGACTTGCCCTATTGGCTAAGTTCAACTGGAAGCTGGAGGGCAAGGGGGTCTCCTGCTACAGGCAGGACAGGGAAGGGAGTTGAGTGGATGTAGAGTGCCAAGTTCCCAGGGCTTCCTTCTACCTGCTTCTGTCCACCAGCAGATCTAGAGAGTTCCTCGCTCCATCCCGTGAGCTTTTCCAGAGCAGAGTGTGCCTTCCACGTTGTAGCTGTGTCATCAGTACTTGCAAAAGTCACAGGGTCCCAGAGCGTAGAATGGGTGCTGGAGAGAGGTTGTTTTGTAAGATCTCAGCTAACTGAAAGTTCTTCAGCTTCCAGGTCCTGGTTACACAGTAATTTGCATGTGAAAGTGGAAGCAAAAGAAGGTTCCCCCGTCATGCTGAGATCACTCTCCAAGTCAGAAATTCTGGAGCCCGTTTTCCGGAATGACTAGGATGCAGGTGAGGTCAACACATTCGCAAGTCTGAGAAAAGGAAAAGCATGGCAGTTTCGACTGAAAAGTTTGAGGAGCGAGACAGGAGTGACAGGAGAGCCTGGGTGGAATGCGGGCAGGGGAGAAGGCTTGGGGGGGTGAGATTCAGTCCGTTGAGAACGAGAAGAGAGGTAAAGATACCTTGGGAGGGAAGAATGCGTGAAAAAATTGTACAGATAAGAAGAAACCAGGACAGGGGCACCTGGGTGGCTCAGTTGGTTAAATGTCCGACTTTGGCTCAGGTCATGAACTCACTGCATGTGAGTTCGAGCCCCACGTCGGGCCCTGTGCTGACAGCTCAGAGCCTGGAGCCTGCTTCAGATTCTGTGTCTCTGTCTCTCTCTGCCCCTCCCCTGCTCACACTCTCTGTATCTCTCTCTCTCTCTCTCTCAAAAATAAATAAACATTAAAAAAAAGTTTAAAAAAAAAGAAGAAACCAGGATTTACTCGGAATTTGTTAAACCCACACTCTCATGGATTCTTTCTTTGCAGTTCTGCGTTCTCGGGATCCCACTCTTTCCAAGAGGAAGACAGTATGGTTAAGTTCCGGGTAAGTCAAGGTTTCCTTTCTCCCTCTTAAATACCACGTCCCTTCTGGGGAGCTATTTTCTGCAAGGAAATGGCCAAGTTTTGAGTGGCGGCCGTGTCTTAGACACTTCACCTTGCTCCTAACAGCTGTGTGAGAGAGGTGGTGTTAACTCCCTTTGCAGAAAGGAAGGAACAGGCTCAGAGATGTCAGGATGCCTAGTTCAGGCTATTCCAAGTGTGGCTCGCACACAAGTGCCAGTCTATGAGCTGCTTGTCACAGAGAGATCAATACAGCAATCAAAAGGAAGAATCCAGAAGCTTTTAATGTTTATTTTTGAGAGAGAGAGAGAGAGAGAGCGAGCA